TAGAGCACAGGCTCAGTAGCTGTGGCACATGGGCTTAGTTGCTCCGAGGCATGTGGGATCTTCCTGGACCAGGGCTTGAATCTGTGTCCCCTGCATTGGCAGGTGGATTCTTAACCACTGCACCACCAGGGAACCCATTTTTTGCCTTTTTTTAAAAAAAATTTTATTGGAGTATAGTTGATTTACATTGCTGTGTTCAACAAGTAAATCTTGTCTTTTATTATTTTCTAAATCATCCATATAATATCCAATAAATTGTTATAATAATAATACAATATGTCCTAAACTAGCCAAAGCAAGTAAATGTAGGTGATGCTATTAATTTATATACTTAAGGATAAAAAAATTTTACCTAACCCATAAGTATCATTCACACATCTAATTTAGCAATTTTAAGTAGTTTTGTTTTCTTTAATGGATGTTTTGACATGGAATATGTATATTTATCCTACAGCTTAATGTATTTTCTAAATATGATTAAATCCCTTTTTAAACTCTTGATGGAAGCTCATCTTCTCCCCAAAATAACAGTGAGTGGATATAGTACGAAGGTGGCTCCTTTACAGAAAAATGCACTTTTCAATCTCAATACATATCTTTAGAAATGTTCTTTTAGTTTATGCTGATTTACAGATTACTAGTGATTTAATTAGGCCAGTGGTTACTAAAAAATCTCAATCTTATTTTTATAAGCTACTGTCAATTAAAAATGAACCAGAAGAAAAATAAAGGTTTTTAAAAAAGTGTTGGCATAGATTGGTAGATAATGGAGTTATTTTTATTCCCCTCATATTTTTCCAGACATAATAATACATTTTTCTTGGAGGACAATTAACAGTAAATATGTAACAACATAGACAACAGCTACATATCTGCAAGTATAGGTGAAAATTGGTTAAGTAATGTGCTATGAAAGTTCTTGCCCACAAGAGGCTAATATTCTTGTGATATAATACAATACATTCGTACTAGGAAGAGAATCATATGTTATATTCCCTAGCCATTTTCATAACATATCCTGTCTAGTTTAAATGTGAGATTTCAAAGGTCCTATCTGTCTTCTATTTTATGAAGATTTTCTACTCTGTCAGGATACATTTACAGACTGAAAGGAAATGGCTTCATCAGTACTGCTTAAACCCAGTTTCCTACTAGAATATTGCAGATAATTTTCCAAAAAAATTCCATCATTTGGTGGCATTTATCAGGTGTCTTTGATAAACGAATATTATGACTTGTATAGTGAGTTAAAAAAATGGAAGAAACAGAACTTTACAGCTCAGAACTATGTCAATTAAAATATGGTAGGAAAATTTCAAGAAACTCATATAATACAGAATGTATCAGAAACACTATTGATTTTGGTCTTTTTTTTTTTTTTTTTGGTAATGTCACTTATTTTAGCTATTAAAAAAAAATCCCTTGAAGATGTCAATACTGTGGATGAATTAATGAAAGATCCCTAGTGGGCCTGGAGCTTTATTATTTTCTATAGAGAATTACGTGTACGTAGCTAAATACTACTTACTTTTGAATCAGAAGAGCAAGTGTCCTACACCGATTCTTTACAGGGTTTTGGAAATCCTCCTTATCACTCATTGTTATAGGGTGCAGGCTCAAAGGAAACCAGTGACAGTGTAAATTGGGTTCAAGAGGCATTAATTCTGCCTTATATCCTATAAGTAGTCTCTACCGCAATGCTAACTTTGGAGAACTGTGACAAAGCACCCTCTTCTAGGACAGCACATTGAACTTATAAAAGCTAGCAGTTTATAAGCTCTCTCTTTCAACAAAATCACATCTTGAAATTTGGCCATATGTGAGCAAAACCTTCCCTTGGAGAAGCTGAACTTTTCCCATATGTCGGCTTTTCTCAGAAAGTAAAAACTCGTGGGTCTCCGTCAGGGAGGCAGCATTACTCAGCAAGCGGTAGTTCAGAACTCAAAAGTGAGAAGAGAGTTTGCCAAGCAAGCAGGATGTGGTGTATAGTTAAAAGTCCTTGTGCATGTGTGTGTGTAGGAAAATGAATGGACTTTTCAAGGAAAAAGTTGCAGCGATAACCTGGAAGGATTAGGGGAGCAGAGTAAAAACCTTAGCATCTGCCTGACTCTGTCTCTTGGTGAGTGAAGAAATGAATAGAGGACCTGAGAGCCTCTGTCACGGACCAGGTCCGGGATGTGCACTCTCATTCCATCAGCACTGAGGTTTGAGCAGAAGTGCAACCCTTCAGCCCCAGGCACAGCCCAGGAGGCAGGCCCCTATTTATGAGAATTTGATCTCAAATACAGACATGCTGGCCAATGGGATATGGGAGGAATAAAGACATGGACAAAAGGTTTGGGTGCCCCTCTTTTTTTTCCCCTGGGATTTCCTTCCTGAATTTCCTGGATCCCCCTTCAGATGCAAGGACCACCCACTGGTCTAGGAATATTTCAGTGGCCACTTCCTTGGCTACATTACAATGACCTGTGTCCTGGGAAAGCAAAGAGAAGGGAAAACATGTTAGACATACTTGAGTGGACGGATTTAGCAAAGACCAACTTTCCCTTCTTCTACCTTCAAATTGCTATTGAGAAATACAGTGGTTTCCCTTAAGAAAAATTTTAACGTCGCCACTGTTTCATTGAAGGATATTTTTTTCCAAAAACTTATTTTTATAAACAAGATTTTTGGATGCAAAAAATAATTACTATCCATTCTTAAACATGTCAACATTCTACTGCCAACTTGCGTCACTGACCAGTTTTCAATGACCCTCCCTCCCCCATCGGTGACCTGTTTCCTTTGTCATCTATTCACCATCTACTAACCGCTCTAACCGTGCACTAGCCACTCTTTCTCAACTCCACTCCCATCCACTCATCCCCCCGCCCTAACACACACACACACACACACACCCCACGCTGGCACAAGAATCGCACGTGGGTCACACAACTCCCTCGGGACCTTCTGCTATTTTCCCCTTTGATCCTTTTACAAGTACATACGTGGGCAGGTACACCCGGATTTTCTGAGACGCTCCTCCGGGCTCTCCATCCGTCAGCTCACCCCTTGCTCCTTTCTCGAGCCTGTAGCTCCCCTTGCAGGCACCAAGTTCAGATGGAGTTGGCGTTCCGCGGGCGCGCAGTCTCTCTCCCTCTCTGTGTTCTCTCTCTGTCTCTGCGTCTCTCTCTCTCTCTCTCCCCTCCCCTTTTCTCTAGGTCCGGCGGTCTGGCGTTCTCCTTCTCTCGCTCTAGCTCTCCATTCCATCCTGCCCCATCTACCCACTTTCCATTAAATGGAAGGAAACACACACACACACGCACACACGCACGCCCGCACGCAAGCACGCGCGCGCCCTTCTCTATTTGATCACTTTACCCCACCGTCGAGGGCCTGCAGCTTCCGGGAAACAAAGGGCCAAAAGCTTGACGGAAGGAGTCTTCGAGGTTGCTTCCAGGGCTCGGGGATCCCCCCGGCCTTGGGGGTGACCTCATTGCAAATTATTGGTCTGTAGACCTCTACCCTCTCCCAGCGGCTCTGCTGGGAAAATGAGGGCAGGACAGCAGCGAGCGTTCACCCGCACCCGCACGCGCGCACGCGCCCACGCGGGCTGCCCCGAGCCGCAGCAGCAGGTGCCAGAAGGTGGAGGTCAGGCCGGGAGCCCGGCGGCGGCAGCCGCCCGGCAGCCACCAGTCTCCGGGCCACTCTCCCGGCCCTTGCCTCTCGCTCCTGCCTTTTGAGGTGACCCTAGTCTTCGCAGCAAAGCGCCTCTCCGCTTTCTACCTCCTTTAATTCTCCCTACGCCCACCTCCTCACCGCCATCATCCCCAACAGGAGTCCCAGTCCGGTCTGCGGAGTGGCAGGCGCGGGGGCTGCGGCTGAGCGCCCCCGGGGTCCCGCGCCGCCGAGGCGGGGGCCGGGGGTCGCCGGCCTCTGCTTGACCCGGAGGTGCGGCTAGCGGCCGGTGGGCGCGGGCGGAGTCTGTAGCGGCTGGAGGGCCGGACGCAGCCGGGAGGGTAGGAGGTGGCGCTGCAGCGCCCAGGAGGGACTCCCCGCGCCGCGCGCTCCAGCCCTCCTCGGGCCGCCCCGGGTTTACTGTGCTTCATATTCATTTGTTTGCATTTTACAAACGGGTTTTTTCGGAGCTGTTTACCTAGCAACTCTTTTTTCTTTCTTCTTTCCTTTCTTTTTTTTTTTTCTTTCTTTTTTTTTAATTTCCTCTTTCTCTCCGAGTTGAACGCGCTGCGCGCGCGCGCGTCTGTCCATGAAGGGGTGGGGTAGGAGGCGATCTGTGTTTGCCTTGGGGGTTTTAAATATTTTGGGGAGGGTGAAGGAGAATTGCTAGAAGCCCGTGTCTTTGCAGGAGCAGTTTGTTGCGGGCGGCCTCCGCATCAGGCCGGGTGATAAAACGCGAAACTTTTAATGCTGCCTTTGCCTCCGGCGCGCCCCTGCCTCGTCTCCCAGCCCGAGACCGGAGTAAATGGCAAAGCCTTCACCCCCGAAGGGAGACAGAACCCGTTTCTTCTAGACAGATGGAATATGAGGGGTGGGGGACAGATCTACCGGAAATTCTAATCGTTAAAAAGTGAAAATTTGAACCCCGAAAGGGATTTTCACATGGCGGCCCCTCCCCCTTGCACGCCTTTTATCCCGCACGAGGATGCAGCTCGGGATTTGCCGGCGCGCTTCTGGCCCCCTCGGCCCAGGCTGGCCGAGTGACGGATCCCAGCCTGGTCCTCCCCCCGTCCCCCTCCCCTCCCCCCCGCCGGGATCGGAGCTGGTGTGCTGTCCTTGCTGCTGCCGCCGTCGCCGCCCCATTCCGCTGCGCACCAGCCCCGGGGGCGCCGGCCGCGCCGAGCTGCCCGATTTCACGCCGGCCCCGGGCTTCCCGGAGGGCCGCGCAGCCCCAGGCGATGACTCAGGCGCCCACCTGGTAACTGTCATTTTCCCGCTCCCTCCACCCCCACCGCCCTCCCGTCCCCGCCCCCCTTTGCCACCTCGGTTCCCCTCCACCACCCTCCGGCCCTCCTCCCAGACGCCCACCCCCCGCTCCTCTTTCCGCGAGATCGCAGAGGTGGCGCGCAGCCCGGCGAGCCGATGACCGACCCCTTCCTCTGGTCTTCAATGCCTCAGCGGAAGATCCCCAAGGGCTGGAGAGAGGAGGGCTGCTGGACATCCTCCCTCGGAGGCTGCTCCGACCTGCTGCTCGTGGTGTATGAAACTGGGGACTGAGCGAGCCCAGCCGCAGCCGTCCGCTCCGTGGCTGCCGTCGGTCCGGACTGGGCCCCGCTCCTCTCGCCGCGCCCGCCGCCCGGCCCCGGCTCGGGACACCCCAGGGCTCGCCCGCGCGCCGACTGCCCGCGCGCCCTCCTGACGGCTGCGGCGGCGGCGGTGATGCAAAGGAGGAGGGTGCTGCCGCCGGCGGCGCTGATGGTGGCGCCCGGCGCCCGGGTGTGAGGCGCGCGTCACGGCGAGGATGCTGCTGGCCTCGCGGCGCTGAGAGGGCGAGCGCGAGCCCGGGGCGGAGGACGCACGGGTCCGGATCTTGCTGCCGTGTGGGCTCCGATCTCCTTCTTTCCTCTCTCACTTCCCCCCACCCCAACCCCCCTTCATTTGCTCTTGGTTTGCATATCCAAAACACCTCTCGACTCCGACCTCTCCCCGACCGCTGGAAGTCTCCCTGTCTCTAAATGGAATTAGTGGAGATCGGAGCCTCGGGTGTAACGAACAGACATGATCTATGGACGCAGTTTGTTTCACAGTGAGTACCTTTCCCGCCGCGCCGGGGCTCTCCGGGTGCCGTCCTCCCCGCCTGCCCTCCCTCGTGGCCGAACGCGCAGGGAAAGCCTGGCCACCGCCGCGCTCCCGCCGGACCGCGCAGGCCCCGCGAGTCTGGGGCAGATGTAAACTTTCTGTATCGCAGCATCATAGAACCGGCGTGCGGGCTGCGCAAGGCGGTGGTCACTGGATCGCAGAATCTGCCGCGGAAAACAGCCTTTCCGTGGGCAGGAACATCCCGGGGCAGAGCATGGCGAGTAGTTCGGGGGTGGGCACGTGCGCAAGAGCGAGGTGGCCTGTGGAAAGAGGGAGAGAGCTGGCCTGATAGTTCCTTTCGGGGGCTTCTGAGCTCGGCCGGCCCGCCTGCCCACCCCCGTGGGTAGTTTGTGGTTCACCTGAACGCAGCCCCCCAGGGGAGGGCGAGGGCCAAGCTCAACTCTTCCGGAGAGTAGATAGCCCTCTAGTGTTGCTTCACGAGTGTGTGGTGCGCGTGCAATTGGGGCGGGGGGGGGATTGGAGGAAAATAGTGTCAGAAGTCATCGAGTAAACGGCAGTGTAAGAAAATATATGGTGGAAATCTCACAGTTTTATAAAGCAAGGATTAGGGTGGCTATGCCACGCAAAGGACCGGCTTTGCCGCTGTGTTAATCACAGCACACGCTCCACAACGTGATGCCCGCAGAGCAGGAAAAGCTGAGTGAAAACACCCAAACTCTAGCTTGATACTGATGGCTGTACACCCGGGTGTGTGCGCGTGCGTGTGTGTAGGTGTAGAAACACGGCACGTTAAAGTAAGACTTTTGTTTTCCTACCTGAGCACAGACAATAGCAACGACTGATATTTTCATTTAAAAGCAGAGAGCCAGGCTAGAGTACAAAGTACAATACTTGACATCATTTCTCAAATACTGATAGCAAGGCCCACAGACTTTTCCTGGAATAATCTTTAAGCATAAATTTGTAAGATCCTGTAGTGAGCTTTAGTTAAGGAAAGCATTGTGAATTATACCTTCCCTTTTCCAAATGCGTTTTTAAGTGGACGTATGATTATACACCTAATGGAACTTAGGGCTTTTAGGTAATCGAGCAACAAAGTCAATAATAAAAACAGAAATAGAGAATGAAAAATCAGAAATTATGAAGACTAGATGACTTTCATGCTTTTCTCAGTTTTAGGCTTTGCAAAAATATTAAGTAACTCAAGGATATGGAAGTAAAACAGAAGGGCAAGTTTCAGTGGTCTTCGTAGATTTACTGTTAAGTTACAGATCAGAGGCTCTTTCTGATACTGGAAAAACTGACTCAGTAAAATGCTTATAGAAATAACCTTTCTCAAAATTATAAAATATTTCTGGATAATACTAAATATTAAATCAAAGTTAAGGCTAGAAGAGATTAATTTCAGAGCTTAGAAGATGCTGAGGACTGGGGTTACTTGGTAGTTCATCATTTTATAAGAAATATTTTTAATTATGCTGCTTAACACCATCAATCCACATTAGTCTGTTTTTCTTCTGTTCCCCTCCCCCGACCTGCCATAGGATTTTGCCTAAGTATTTATTTTCTAAAACACAATAACATGGTTGATGAAAATACAACTTTTCCTTTTCACCCTTTTACCTGCTGTCCCTCTTTCTTCCTTTAGAGATACTAGCAAGGTCATTCACACAGAGCAGCTCAGACATACTCCTGAAATCCTGCTGTAATGGGACATTAGTAGGTGACAATATTAACTCTTTAGTCTTGAAGTCTGCATTTGCCTTAGGAGTTTGGGTCTCAGCCATTCCTAACTGGCATTACTTCCTGAGGAGATTCCTAAGTTGTCCTGATTTGTACAATTTATCTGTACAAATTTGTACATTTTATCAGTTTTTGCAAGTTCTGAGTCTACTTGGAACAGTTAAAAGTGATAAAGTAATCTTCTTTGATATCATTTTATCTTTAAATTGTTATGTTGTTATAGAATTTGATCATTTCGGTGTACATTAAGCTTTCTAATTTTTCTTTTTTTGTTTCAGTTGTAGCAAGTTTAATCATCCTCCATTTGTCTGGGACAACCAAGCAAGGAACAGGTGTGTTTCTTTGGAAAAATGCAAGTGGAAGACCTCCAGTCACTTGCATTTTCCTATTTTCCCCACATTCTTAATATTCCAGACTATCTGAGCATTTTATAGTGTGTATAATTGATTGGTTTTGACTACGACACCATTTAGAAGTTAATTTACTAATGGATATTGTAAGAATGTCCTCTCTATTTTTAGTTTTATAAAAAATTGGATAGTGGCTTTAAAAAACAATTTTTTTTTTCCAGAAAAGCAAAGCACCTCAGAAACGAAGTCTGTGCAGTGTGGAAGTTGGACAAAACACGCAGACGGAGGTGTCTTCACCTCTCCGAACTATCCCAGCAAGTACCCCCCTGACCGGGAGTGCATCTACATCATAGAAGGTGAGGAAGCCACTGCCAGAGCTGGAGAAAACAGTCAGCCAAATCTGGCCACCTCTAAGCTTTGGATGGACAATATGCATATAGACATTACAAAAATTGGTTTTGGAGACCATACACATAAATATCTCTGAGTGAATCAAATAGCTGTAAAATCTGGGGTCCAGCTAATTATTGAAATTATTAGTAATGGTTTATAAACAGGTGCATTCTGGGAAATAAAAAGAAATCAACAGCAGTTCATTTCGCAGTTCATGTAATTGATTTGGAATTCTGCATTAATGGAATGGATGCATGGTTGGCATAATAGTACCTAATGTGTAACATTTTTGGCAACTAGTATTTTTTTGGCTTAATAATTAGTAGAATAACCCATACATTTGTTATTTTTCTCTTAAATAATATGAAGCACGAAAAACATATTCTCGTCGGAAGTACATCTATGATCATATTTTCCAAATGTCAGTCTGAATAGCAGTTGCCTTAGTTTGTGCTCACAAGTGATATTTTCGTACTTTCATGCCAAAGTCAGGATTCCAAATGATGATGCTTCTTTTCATCATTTTTTCCCCAGCTTGAAGGATAAAAAGTGCTGAAAAAGGGATTCAGTTCTCTTTGAACATTTTCCATTTCCATTACCCTTGTAGACACGTCTCTATTAAGGATGATACCGATACATGAACATTTCATCTAGTGATAGAAGTTTTCAATATTATGTGTTAGTACTTAATAGCCCAAAACTTTCAACCTCCCCAACCCCTGTGTTCCCCCAGCGCACACACACACACACAGAGTTACCTTAACAAAGACAGTATTTTTGCTCACTGTTTACTTATAAGCAAGGAACATGTTAATTTGATAGATCTTTCAAATTAAAAGATGTTCTGGTTAACTGATTTCAAGAATTTCATTTAGAAATGATTTTTTTTTGTAATTTCTGGGCCAAGATCTTTCCTCTCTTCTTGTCATGCTTCAAGTTGAACTTTTAGCAAAGATACACCATATTACAAGAAGAAGAGAGAGAAATAAGCTCTGATAATAAAAGCATAAAGTTGAGAAACTGAGCTCCGGCGGTTTTTCTTCCTCTTATGATAGATAGAAAAGGAGACTGAAATGTGGAAATTCTGGGTTAAAATTAGCTGCTCTTTCAGTCAAGTTAATATTACATATCTGTTATACGTAGTAATACATATACTGTATAATTGTATCGTGTAGTACTAGTTTAAGATCCTCGGCTGATTGACTTTGAGGATGTGAAAACCTACAGATACAAATACAGAGGGCCAAGTAAGGGACTTGAGACTTGAACATCCTTGGATTTTGGTGTCCAAGGAGGGTCCTGGAACCATCCGCCTCCCCTCTCCCCTGCTGCCTGCAGGGACCTAGGGACGACTTGTGTACGTATACATATATATATACATATACATAGATACTTAATCATAGAAATTTGGTATTTTTGTTGTCCCTACTGTACATATAAGGAAACTGAGGCACAGAAGGGTTAAATGTCTTGCTTAACTTCATATAACATAATCTGTGTTTTGAAGCAACAGTATTTCAAAACTACAAATTATTAAAAAGAATAACATCAGCTAATTCTCTTGTAATTCAGAAGAAAATCTTTGCATGTTAATTGTGCTTTCATGTTTATTCTTATTGATAATTTAAATGCATTGCTAACATTTGATTCTTATATCATGCACATATTTGCATTCATTCGTAGTCATGTCAAGGACAAAACTTAAAGTTGGGAAATAAATAGAACCTCCTGTCACTGTTAATCATACTTCTATACCCATCTTGAAATACTTCATACTTGTCTTTTTTCCATTCATACATTCATTTAACAAATATTTGCTGAACCGCTCTTGTTTAGAGAGTATTGAACAAAGTAGACATGGTACTTGCCTAATGGAACTTACGACATGGCCTGGGGACTATGCTTTTTTCAGTAAACAATCTCAAGTGGCCCCGAGATGAGCAGTTTTGGAATAGAGAGAAAGACAAGAAGTCTATAAGGAGGAAGAGATGCTTACACTCAGTCCTAAAGAACATTCAGGAGATAATTGTCCTCTGTGTAGAATAGCACGTGCAGAGGTTCAGAGCCACGGTGAGGTTGGTTACACACGTGTAGTATCATAGGGTGTCTGCAGAGGATGTAAGGAGTCTGAATGGCAGGTGGCCTCAGATAAAGGAGAACTTGGCATCCATCTTCCACCCAGGCAAGTTTGGACTTTATATTATAGACAAGCGAGTGCCATTGAAGTAACTCGAGAAAAAGAATAAGGTGAGATTTCGATGAAGAAACTAGAGGAAGAGAACATAAGCTGAAACTATTGTGAAAGGTGGAGTAAACCATAGGAGAAGCCTGAACTACAGAAGTGACATTGATGGTGGAGTCAAGGGAACAAATGAGAGGTATTTGGGAAACCGAGTCTAGCGTGACCGGATGTAGGGATGAGAGAATAGGCAATCTCAGGACTATTCTAAAGTTTTGGCTTGGTGATGTGTTACATGGAATTGCCATGTCAGATAAGGAATAGAGGTGGAGAAAGGGGGGTTAAAGGAAAAATAATGTGTTCCATTTGGTGTTTATGGAGGTGTCTCATGAAGAGATTGGATGTGTGGTCTTCAGTTCAGTGGATAGCTCTGGGATAAAAATATATATTTATAGGTGATAAATATAGTGCTTGCTGTTGAGGCTGCGAGCATGAATAAAATTACCCAAAGTGTATTTGGAGCACTTTAACTCTTTTGGAAAATCCAGATGCTTGGGTCTGCCTCCAGGAATTCTGATTTAATTGGGCTTAGGTGGAGCTGCAGACATTATTATATTATAATCTCTTTCCATTGGGATGCTAGTGGCATCCAGAGCCCTGGTCTAGAAAGAGAGGAAAGAAGGCATAGAATAGATTTCTGGAAAATGACATGTAAGGGAGGGCAGAGTAAGGAGAAAGTCAACACGGACTGTGAAGGAAAAGCCAGAGAATATCAGGATCGTATTTTTTTTGTAAGTCTCTAATTTTCAAGTAATCATGTATCTCAACTCTATATACATTTTGATACCCATGCATGCAAGGCTTTAGTTTCAAAGCCATTCAAGGGTGATATTCAATATATATTTAAGAACTGGTGTGGGGGGACAGTAGTCATTCCGAATGATTGCTGACCACGTGGGAAGCAGGCCCTGCCATGGCAGGACTTAACTTTCAAGTTTCTGGAGGTGATTGGTCTTTAAAGAGGATCAAGTGGCTAGAAAGCAACCGAAGGACTCAAGACAGCAGTTTACTAACTAGGATAAACGTGTGGATATTTCAACAACTGTAATGGCTATTCTGGGGGTACTCTGGCTGAGTATCAGCCTGGAATGCCAGAATCTTGAACAGTTTTGACCATGACATGGGAAGAATGGAAGGGCACTAGCAAATGCATCCATGTGGAGGTTTATGGAGCTGCTCACCCTATCAGGCTCTTCCATGGTTATTTAAAGAGCTGTAAACACATTTATGAAGATAAATTCATTTATAATTCACCCAACAAAGATTTTTTTTTGGAGAAATTCTCAGTGACAAGTATTGTGCATGAATGCTGAAAAAAGAAGGTGAATAGATACGGGTTTTGTCTTTAGTAAGTAGATGTAGAGAGGAGATTTTTTTTTTTTAAGCAAGATTTTCCCACATAAACAGGAGTTGGATTGGAGGTATATATGTACTCAAGAAAGTGGGAAAACACACGAAAGCCTAAAAGAGCATGCTGTCTTAGAAAACATGATATGCCTGGAGTGGCCTGAACTTGGGCTGTATGTGAGGTGAAAAGACCCTGGCAGGGTGAGTTGTTGGATACTTCTAAGAAACCTATATGTCAAGTGAATTGATCATTTTCCTATAGCTGATAGAGAGTTGCTGAATAAGTTGAAACCTGAGAATGACATGATAATATTTGCGTTCTAGGAAAATTACTCTTAATATCCCTCCACACACACTTCAATCTAATCAACACATCTAATTGGGACTATTTGAATGGTTTAACTCCATGCTGAACAGTTCTCAAGTTTCTGACCTTAAAACTGGATTCTCCTGAAGATGTGGGAAAAGTGACAGAGAGATGCCTCTCTACTTTTTAAACCTGAGTCAGCAGGTTTTCACAAAACTACTGTGATTTGTTCATTCTGTGTTAGATATTGAAGTGGTCATTTTATATCAGATAATATTTTGTGCAACATCATCAGTTTTAAGAAGCATCTCTTAGACATTATTATGGAAGTATTATCTCTAAGGATGCTAAGAATAACAAAGTTGCTTAGCGTTTCTATGCATATCACAGTCAAAATTTGATAGGAGTTATACAGATAAAATCTGAAGTAGAATCAGAGAAACCAAACTACGGATTTAAAAAGAACCTTCTAGGGCTTCCCTAGTGGTGCAGTGGTTGAGAGTCCGCCTGCCGATGCAGTGGACACGGGTTCGTGCCCCGGTCCGGGAAAATCCCACATGCCGCAGAGGGGCTGGGCCCGTGAGCCATGGCCTCTGAGCCTGCGCGTTCAGAGCCTGCGCGTTCAGAGCCTGCGCGTCAGGAGCCTGCGCGTCCGGAGCCTGTGCTCCGCAACGGGAGAGGCCACGACAGTGAGAGGCCCGCGTACCGCAAAAAAACAAAACAAAAAGGACCTTCTAGACATAATCTTTCTTTTTTTTTTTTTCCAGCTGCCCCAAGACAGTGCATTGAACTTTATTTTGATGAAAAGTACTCTATTGAACCTTCTTGGGAGTGCAAATTTGATCATATTGAAGTTCGAGATGGACCTTTTGGATTTTCTCCAATAATTGGACGTTTTTGTGGACAACAAAATCCACCTGTAATAAAATCCAGTGGAAGATTTCTATGGATTAAATTTTTTGCTGATGGAGAGCTGGAATCTATGGGATTTTCAGCTCGATACAATTTCACACCTGGTAAGTGGGGGCTTGTTTTTTTCCCTATATCTTTTCCTTCCTTGATTTTCTATCTTCATACTCTAAGAACTTTTGTAAGACAACTTAATAATTTCCAAAGAGTTTCCCAGTTCTATTTAAAACCAAACCTACAATACTTTCTCTTTTCATTTCATTAATTCTGAAAGGAAAATAATTTTTCTTTAAAATTTAGCCTACACTAGAGGTACAGCATAGTGACTCAGGGGTCTTACATGGTCATCAGCAACACAGTTAATTAGGTGGACTTCCGTTATGCTGAAACGTGTAATTTGAGAGGCCGTCTGTAATAGAGAAACTAATTATGCATTGAATCCTAATAAACTTGAAAAGGCAATTGCAATATTGTAAAATGTATCCATCAAAATGATCTTTGGAGAACTCAAATAAAAAATTCATCTGTTCTGAAAATTATAATTTTTTTTTTTTTGAAAATTATAATTTTTAAAGCAAATGGGTCTTCGTATAAAGCAGTCAGTCTAATCTCTTTTTAGAAATGCAAATTCCTAAGAGTTGTGGTAAAAGGAAAAGTGAGCCCCATAGCAGCCAAATACCCATTTGCAAGGTCTGGTACCCATTAGCTGTTATTATATAATTATCTATTCTATGTCAGTTTTCCTTTTAACCTGTTGATATTCAAAAGGGTCTGTGATGTTGACTGGCTCACTTTATGATGAGTTATCATTTAATATAATAAAAATTGGTTATATTTTTAAACTGCAAGAACATCAGGCTGAAGCAATTTGAGATTTGATGAAGTCACTTTTTTTTGATGGAAAAATGACTCAACTTATATAAAGGACATTATTTATTTATAATTACATTTTTTTAAGTTTGTACATATTGTTTTACTCAGGTTATAAAAGACAGTAAATTAAATTGGAATATATGTAAAATTTGTTCAAGTTTCCATTCCATGTTACAGAGGTAACATCAGAGCAGGGCTATGATGCTCAGTTCAAGCACTAACATTTTTGAAATAATTAATATAAGATTAATGATGACTTTTATTGTGATATTATGGTTTAATAATATAATAATTAAAATAAGTAAGATATTAACCCTACCATATGCCTTAGCCTTAAACATTAGGAATATTTTTATAATATCTCTAAGAGATTGTGGTTTTCATTATGCTTTGCTAATAATATTGGATTGGTCACAAAAGTCATGGGTATTTCACATGTGGCAATCAAACCGATTCGATGTGTTCCAGAAAGGTGTAAACACTGAGATTACTTTATTAGTGCTAGAGTTTTCAATGGAAATATATATATATATTTTCTTAACTGCTAATTTTGAGTATAACTAGGATCTAAAAATAATGGCACATGGTATGATCTAGGCTTTTGTAAGTTATATTTTCACCTTGAGACTGGTGATCATGGGAACAACGTGAGGATCTAAAACTGTAGTTTCATTAGAAATGTAGGGTCAACTAACATACTACATCAACTTAAGCAATTCTGTCCACGTTTCTAGCTCTACTTGAGATACATAAATGGTGGCGTTCAATCTGATATCCTAGGTTTTCCAAAGCTTCTTTGTTCCCGAGCATTGTTCTTTGCTCCTTGTTTCTTTAGATCCACCTTGCTTCATCTGTAGAAGGAGAAGATTTTATAACCAGGAACATCTGAATCAGAGGGGAATGTGAGGAGATGATTCCATTAAGAATGAGTTAAGGATAGACTGAGGCTTCTGCTGTCACTCAGATAAGCTTGAGTGAAGTGTGCCGGGAAACCTACACTTGGCATCTGAGGGGAAAGTAGGACCATAAAAAGGAGTTGTGTAAAACTTCCATGACTGCACAAGTTGACACGCTATGGCCCAAGGACATTGCCTGAGTGACGCAGTAATCTACAGCTCATTCCATAAAGAGGCAATATTGAGGAAGCCACTTAGTTAATGTAGACGGAAGGGGGTAGGGATTAGTGATCATTTAGACAGCATTTAGGGAATAAGGAGTCAGGCGGGCTTTAGTTTAATTTGGGCTTCATTTTTACTTGGTGGTATGCTTCAAGCGGTGACCTGTGGGAACTGAGAGAGCTCCTCAAGTCAACTTAATCATTTACGTGATAAAGCATTGCTGAAATCTCGAGGGCCCCAGGGTGGGATGCACATTGGAGGAGAGATCTTCCCACCCAGTCACCCCGAGAACTGGACTCCAGCACAGCTGTGAGGAACACTGGTTTTGGAAGCAGGTTGGGCTTCCAATTCTAGATTTCTTATTTCTTGCTTGCTGTAAACTCTGGACGTGATCCTTCATGTTCTATGCTTCAATATTTTTATTTGTAAAGTAGGGATAATATTGATTACTCACAAGATTGTTTGATTATCGACCAATGCATATTTATGGATTTCTTCACTTCCTATGAGATCTCAACTGTTGATAGCTATTATTGTATTAATTTGATCACGTTTTCTTTAAAAGTAAAGGAGGCTTGGCGTAGTTTATTGGGAGAGCAAGTGTCCCAGACTTTTTAAATTACAACTTCTCTTTCCCTGATTTTTTGGGATGGATATGAAAAACTAATACCACACGATGTCACTTTTCCTTATTAGGTTTAAGTGGGCCTAAGTCTCCACATGAGGGTTATAGTTATTTCTGATAGCAGTCATAAAATATGATAGAGCAGAAATAGCAGTAGGAAGGCTAGGTGGTCTTTATTATTTTTGAGAATTTACCATAATCTGGAATCTGGATCTTAATTTACAGTCCCAGAAACTTGATGTCAGCACAGTGAGAGTGTACCTACTCTTAGGAACGAATCACATTAACCAAGCTAAATATACATATATACATACGTGTGAATGTACACAAATATATATACATACACACGAATACACATACATACATGTACATATATGTACACGCATATAAACATACATACTTTTTTTTTTTTTTTTTTTTTTTTTGGGGGACCCGACCCTCTTTTTGTTTTGCCCTCTCCCGTTGCGGAGCACAGGTTCCCGGACGTGCAGGCTCAGCGGCCATGGTTCACGGGCCCAGCCTCTCTGCGGCATGTGGGATCTTCCCGGACCGGGGCACGAACCCGTGTCCCCTGCATCGGCAGGCGGGCTCTCAACCACTGCGCCGCCAGGGAAGCCCGTATATACATTTTTAGTAAGAATTCTTAGAATCACACAGCTCATTGTTTCTTGTAAGCGACCATACATGGGCATCCAGATTAGAATCAGAACATTGTACAGTGAGTGTGAAATCCAAATATTGAAGCATGTTTACTAGCATCCAGCGAAGGTACGTGATGATTCATCTTGATAACATGGACCATTTTTCCCAATGATGCTCTAGGTCCCAAATTGCCATGGGTCAGTACCCCTGTCCAGTCTTCAGCTTCAGCCATGCCTGACTGGGACACTGATTTGTGTCAACTCTTATCTCAAAACTTGTTTCTATCTCTTAATATCTGAATATCTTTGACTTCCTTTCTGAGTCAACTTTAAAACATAGCCTTTTAATCCCTCCCTCCTGCGTTCCTAGGAGCTACTTCTGAACTGGTGGTCGCTGAGAACTAGCCAGCTGGAGATCATGTGTGGACTTGGAGGGCAGGAAGGCAGAGCCAGAGAAGATGCCACAGATACACACTTAAAGGGGTTTTCCATCTTCGGGCACATTTTGATGACTCCGCAGTTTTTATGTTATGGATGCGGTTGTCTGTAGATACTGTGCCATTACCTGGGTCCACAGTGCAATGATGAATCACCTAGGAGTATAGTCTAGCATGCACAAGAAGGATCGTGAGACTGAGTAACAGTCAGAGAGAAGTCAGCCTGTCAAACCCCCAGGGCCTGCAGAAATGAAGGACAGTGTGAGGTTTGAAAAAGGGCCAAGGAACCCAAGAGCCCTGGTGGGAGCCTCCAGGTGATGCCAGTTGGGAAAACCTCTCTTCTTCCTGTGCAAGCACAGTTGTGTTGTGAGGTCTCCTCAACATACACTCTCCTACTTCCGTGAAGAGAAATGTCAGAATCACTGAAAATGTTAAAAGTTACATGATGCAAAATTTGATAACCCACAGATAATTGAACAAGAAAACATATAGAAGTGTTCATTGCAATAAACCGATACTGTTTTCTCATCTTAATAATGTTTTTCTTAAAAACATTTAAACCAAATGTGTTATAGAAAAATGAATCATGAGAAAATACTTTATAATGAAATTACCTTAATAATACTGAAATAACATTCACCAAACTCATAACGATGATTACCTTAGATGATGTGGGTGGATGAGAAGGAACTGAAGGGACCGAGAGAGAGATACAGTGAACTTCTATCAGCATTATCAGTAATGCTTAAATTTTTGAAAAGGATACAACATTGTTTTTGTTGCTACTAATGTAAATAAAAGTGTTTAAGATAAATCAAAAAAAGAGAACATACCATAGTTGGTAATTTTTAAATGAATTGCTATTAGAATTTAAAATGTATTTTTAAATGAATTTTTAAATTTGAATGGAAGTTTAGAAGAGGGAATACCATTTCTCCACAATCTACTTTTTTTTTTTTTTTTTTACTTACACTGAGAATGCCTTTTCAGTAGAGATTAACTCTTCCCCGTATCCAGCTGCCCCCATGCCTCAATTTTCTTTGTTGGTTGAAAATATGAACTAAGGAGAAAACATGTAACTGTATTCGCTGTATCCCCAGTCCAGAGGCATATTATCAAGGACTTTATTAGATATGAAGAAAGAAGAACATCCAGGATGTTCTACTCCGGGGGAAAGTAACCCTTTCAATCTCTGTAGGAACAAATATCTCTTGTTAGTCTTGTGCTTTCCTTCCTAATGGAGAGATTTTCTCCTCTTTGCAGACCTAGAATGTGATGTTTTTGGAATCTTCCTCTTTTGATGTTATCTTTTCTGAACTAGTTTTATGAAACAAGGTTACACACACCCTACTGGAGAAATTTAATTTAAGGATTATGCCTCAAAGTACCAAATAGGTGAGGTCGAGTTAGGTA